AGTACTAACAACTTCTTCAGCAGTTTGGGAATAACTAGATATTTAAGGTTATAAAGTCATACTCATTAACCTCATACAATATGATAGTGAATAGATCTCCAATTAAGAGAAAGTAATTTTGGCTTGGTGCCTGTAGCTCAGTGGCTAGGGTGCCAACCACATACACCAGAGCTGGCGGGTTTGAATCCAGCCCCAGCCTGCCAAATAAAAATGACAACTCCAACCGAAAAAAAATAGCCAGAGGAGATGGGATCTTCCTCTTGCTCAGGCTAGCCTCAAACTCCTGAGCTCAAGCAATCCATCTGCCTCAGCCTCTCAGAGTGGTAGGGTTACAGACATGAGCCACTGTGTCCAACCATAGTGGTGGTTTTCAAACAAATATTCCAATGGAGTTTACTGCATCTTAAGTGGTGTTATATTAAAGATGGTTTAAAGGCAAATGTAAAAAGGGAGTTACATTAATAAATAATTGCTCTATAGTAGGTAATTAAGAGACGCTAAAGCTACCTGAACTGTATTATAACCTTCTATGCTCATCATTTGTGTTACCATCAGACCAAATACTGAACTAACAATGTACTACCAGTCTGAAATCCTATGGCCTCACTCTCTTAATAAATGCTCATTGGCTTGGTGCCTGTGGCTCAAGTGGCTAAGGCGTCAGCCACGTACACCCAAGGTGGCAGGTTCGAATCCGGCCCGGGCCTGCCAAACAACAATGACGGCTGCAACCAAAAAATAGCCAGGCATTGTGGCGGGCGCCTGTGGTCACAGCTACTTGGGAGGCGGTGGCAGGAGACTCGCTTAAGCCCAGGAGTTAGAGGTTGCTGTGAGCTGTGATGCCACAGTACTCTACCCAGGGCGACAGCTTGATGTTCTGTCTCAAATAAATAAATAAATAAATACTCATTAAGTACTCTCACTCTGGTGTCCTGAGGAGAGTGTCGTGGCATCGTAGCTCACAGCAACCTCAAGCTCTTGGGCTCAAGAGATCCTCTTGTCTCAGTTTTTCTATATTTAATAGAGACAGAGGGTCCCTCTTGCTTAGGGAGATCTTGAATCCTGAATTCAGGCAATCCACCTGCCTCAGCCTCCCAGAGTACTAGAATTATAGGTGTGAGGCACCGCACTCTGTTCTCCCGGCCCAAGTACTCTGTTCTTAATGTTCACAAATATGAACAAAAGCTAGGATAAATATATTTTAATACAGTTAATTTTTAGGATAAACAACTAGACAAAATGAGATTCTAACTAGTCTACACAAAGCAACATCAACTTTTTTTTTACATTGCCCTTAATAGTCTTTAAGAAGGGCAAAAACAAGCCAAGAACTACTGAGCATCTGGATTCACAAAAGGGTCCGGAAAAAATTACTGAGCCATTTCATAAGAGACATGGTTCTGATTATAACATATTGACTACTGTCAGAGGACAGACAATATACTTAGTTGTGTTTTTTTTTTCTTTGAGACAGAGTCTCACAGAGTCACAGCATCACAGCTCACAGCAACCTCAAACTTTTGGGCTTAAGCAATTCTCTTGCCGCAGCCTCCTGAGTAGCTGGGACTATAGGCACCCACCACAACGCCTGGTTATTTTTTGTTGCAGTTGTCATTGCTGTTTAGCTGGCCTGGGCTGGGTTCAAACTGGCCAGCCTCAGTGTATGTGGCTGGCACTGTAACCACTGTGCTAGGCCACCGAGCCATTTGGATATATTTTAATAATAATATTTAATTTATTAAATATTTAATATTTAATTTAATTATTAATAATAATTCCAAATTGATTTTAAGTTAAAAAAGAAACTGTATTTGTCTTACTTTTGTAAAAATATGTGTTTTTTCTTTTTCCTTAGAGACAGGGGGTCACTCTGTTGTCCAGGCTGGAGTTCAATGGTGTCATTATAGCTCATTGCAGCCTCTAATTCCTAGGCTCAACATTCTCCTGCCTAAACCTCCTAGTCTTTTTTTTTGGGGGGGGGGTAATAAATGAGGTCTGACTATGTTGCCTAGGCTGGTCTTTAATTCCCGGATTCAAACAATCACCCTGCCTTGGCCTCCCAAAGCTCTGGATTATAGGTGTCAGCCACCACGACCAGCCAAAATATGTGATCTCATAAACTGGGCTTATGACCTTTAATTTCTTTTTTTTTTTTTTTTTTTGAGACAGAGTCTCAAGCTGTCATCCTGGGTAGAGGGCTATGGCATCACAGCTCACAGCAACCTCCAACTCTTGGGCTTAAGCAATTCTCTTGCCTCAGCCTCCCAAGTAGCTAGAACTACAGGCACCTGCCACAATGCCCAGCTATTTTTTTTGTTATAGTTGTCATTCCTGTTTGGCAGGCCTGGGCCAGGTTCGAACTCACCATCCCCGGTGTACGTGGCTGGCGCCCTAGCCACTGAGCTACAAGCACCAAGCTTGCCCTGTTATTTTTAGAGACGAGGTCTCGCTCTTGCTCAGGCTGGTCTTTAATCTATGAGCTCAAGCAATCTACCTGCCTCGGCCTCCCAGAGTGCTAGGATTATCGGCATGAGCCACCATGTCCAGCAACCTTTAATTTCTATGAAATGAAATTTAAAATCCAAAGAAAAACAGAACCAGTTTTGAATATGTATGATGACAGACTAGTTAGGATAACTGAGACTCACAGAATTCTAAAATCTCACTTAATCTAATAATTGAACAGAATTTCCCCTTACTATTAGAAAGGGAAAATGTCTTAATATTAGAAACTAGAAAACATGGTTAATAGGAACAAAATTGAATTGTCATAAATCCCATTCCCTGATTTTATTTGTTAAAACTTTCTGTTGAGGGTACCAATAGCAATTTAATTTCCAAAAGGCAATCTCATGAATATATTAATAGCATTTAATTAAAAATTAACTATAATATGTCTCTTTTATGACTGAAGCTTAGCTAAGATATTAAAGCTTTTCCTTATTTCTTGACTTATTCCCTTTTTTGGAGTATGAGAGGCTACAGAGTCTTTCTGATATATGAACTGAGAAGAGTAATTGTCCTTGGGGAGAGAGTAGCAAAGAATAAGGTTCTAAATCTGGTTATGCCTTAGTATTTATGACCCCAGACATGTCCCATTACCTCTAGATTTCAAGTTTTTTTCATCTATTAATCTATAAAGAGCCTAAGGCTAATCTTATAAAGCTTATCACTGAAGATGACAAACTTTTTTTAAAACTAATAACGTGTACTTTCTAATGTTATGAAAATTTGAATTAGCTAGAAATACAATTTGGAAATTAGTAAGACATACCACAACAAAACTTAAAAATGGGAAAAACTGAAAAAGGGAATAAAATACTTTCTTCACAGCTACAATAAACAATCTCAAACTATTGGCATAACAGGTTTGATTATGATGCCACACTTAGATTATAAGTTTAAATTTAAAACAAATTATCCTTTGCACAGAGTCTTCCTTTATTATTAAAATACTAGGTTTTCTGTTATTGTAGTTTCATTAGCTCTTCAATGACTGCTGTGGAGGTTTTGGTTTTTGTTTTGTATTCTTGGCAAAAAATACTATATTTCTTCAAATTATTCTTTATAACCTTCTGATGAAGTAGAATTAAAGTTTTACAGTATATATTTAAAATATTCTATGAATAGCTCCTAAGAAAATATAAGAGATATAGATAAAGATTTACCCACAAGATATGTCTTATGATTTTTATAATACAAATTTGCAAACAACCTCAATGTCCAATATTTTATCTTAAATAAAAGATAGCAAATGTATTTCACAGAATATTATGCAATCATTAAAATAGTTTATCAATAACATGAGAAAATGAATATATTTAGTTAAAATACAACACAAAATTATCTACATACATGTATAATAATTAATCCTAATTTTATAAGCCTATATGTATGAACATACACAGAAAAGACGCAAAATACTAAAATCACCTATCTCTGGATGAAATGATTAGAGATGCTTTTATATTCTTCTTTATACTTTTCTGATTTTAAAAATTTTCAACAATAAATATTTAAGATCAGAAAAAATAATTTAAAAAGAGAATTTACATAAGTCCACAGATATACTCTTCCACTCCCAAAAAGCATGCTGGAATATACTGGGAATTGGAACAAAAAAGTATATTCATAACACCTTGAACTTATTATTTGTCTAAGTTTCCAAAATTCAAGATTGTAGTTTGATATTAAAAATTGGAGAACAATTTTTCTACTTACCTTCTCCAACCATTGTCACGCCTATCGACATGCCTAAGAACTTGCTCTTAGTCCAGACGTGTGCATTTACACACATCTTCCTTTCTGCACATTCTGCATAAAATCCTGAGACTGGAGGATGATGGGAAACCTGCTCAGCAACAAATCTGACTGTGTAACAGTCCGATCCCACCTGGCTCAAAGACTCCTCTGATTGAGGAGCATGATTTGTGACTGCCTGGGTGGAAGAGCTGCTAATAACACTGGATGCTACCTCACTTTTCGGCATCCTCCAGGAACAGTGAAATGTTTCTCCAATGATAGGATTGTATGGTTTCTTAGCAATGGCTCCCTTACGGCCTTCATGAAATGAGGTAAGGTAGTACTCAACAAAGCGAATCATTCTGTCCTCAGCTGTAGCTCCATTAGTGATGGCTATAAATAGGTCTGGATGAGACATGAAGTCTGCATACATTTCCAGCAAGGAACGCTTCTCTAGGATAAATGTAGGAAGCACCACCTAAAACAATAACAACAACAACAATCAACCGAAGAGGGAAAATTTATCTGTAACAACTGTTCTTATCTCTCTAAAAACATTTCATTCTAGATGGGTATTAAAAACATAGTTACAAAGAAAAAAGTATTTGGTCTCATTAAAAAATAAGCATGCTTAAAGGGAAATGAAAGCCTGCCCAAATAGTTAAGATGAAATACAAATTCAAGATGGTCAGGTAGAAGGAATTAAAAAAAAAATCCTCAAACTTCTAGACTAGATAAAAAAGTATCATCAGGTTAAAAGTCAAAGTGAATGTTAGTCATGCCTAGCCTCCTTTCCTAACTTTAAAATAAATTGTAGATGATTGATCAAGATATGAGACTTTTCTGAGAATAAAGAGATCACAGACCAAAGGAAAAGCTGTAACACACATTTAATTTTAAGCACAAGGCAACTATTTCCTAAAAGAGAACTTTTGATAGCTAAAATTAGTTAAGTGTAAGGAAGATTAAATATTTTAAAGCAGAGTTGGACAGACATTGCAAAATAGTTCAACTGTTTGAGAAAACAAACTTGGAATATTTTTCAAGACCCTTAAGGTATTCATACCCATCAGCCTAGTACTTTTATCCAGGAACCTAGCCTTAGGAAATAAATAACATGAATAAGGAAAATGTTAAAAAATAATTACAACAACTTACATTTTAAGCTATGGTTCTACATCACTTAAATGTGGAAATCTCACGTAATGACATTTCACTATTATAGTCCTTTTAAAAGATGGTTCTGGGCTTGGCACCTGTAGCTCAAATGGCTAGGGCGCCAGCCACATAAACTGGAGTTGGTGAATTTGAACCCAGCTTGGGCTTGCCAAACAACAATGGCAGCTACAGCCAAAAAAAAAAAAAAAA